TCTCTCTCTCTCTCTCTCTCTCTCTCTCTCTCTCTCTCTCTCTCTCTCTCTCTCGTGTGTGTCTGTGTCTGTGTGTATGCTTATGGTGAATTTCTGTACAAGTACAAATGTACATTTGCATTTTTGTGTATGCATAGATGTACATATCTGTGTGTGAACCTACATAGGTATGTGTGAATTATGTGTTTGTACTGGTGTGCTGTGTGTACATTTTTGAACCTCTGCATATTTATGGATATTTTTATAGATGTGTCTGTATGTGCTGGAGTCTCTGAATATAGCCACTTACATTTACCTTTGTCTTTAGTCATATGCATGTAGGTGTGTCAGTTTATGACTATGTACAGGTTTATATTTGTCTGTGTACCAGATACAACGTGGCTTCAGGAGCAAAATCCAGTATTCTACATATTCTCTTTCTAAGGGGTATGAGACAATAAGACAGAGATGAGGCACAGTCCTAGATAGTAGGTTGGGGAGAAACAGAACACATAAGCCCTTTGAACATGGAAGTCTTTGGCAATTGATTAATATGCCCTCGAACCTATGGCACCCCACTGATGCTGGATCCCAGTGCTGTCTTGGTAGAGGGATCTTTGCCTTAGCTCTTAATTATGACATAGAATCTGGTCAAGAGGTAGAGTTGCCTAGGAGTGGGGTATCATACAGGTACCGCATTGAACAGTGCACTAAGTGGACCTTTAATTCAATCCTTCTAAAGAGATGTGGAATTGTTGCAGGAGATGGGAGGATAAGCATTGAGGAAGACATTTCAGGGGTATATCAGTCTCCTGATGCTTCTCCCTCCCTCCCTCCCTGCCTCCCTCCCTCCCTGTCCCCTTCCCTCTCCTCTTCCTCCTCCTCCTCTTCCTCCTCTTCTTCCTCTCCTTCCCTCATAGAATAGCCTCTAATCAAGTAGCCCAACACCCTAATGTCCAAAACCACAGGCAGAGGTGTGCGTCTGTGGTGGGGACAAGCTCCTTCTTGACTAAAGCCTCTTTAGGGCAGATCTGAGCTAGTAAAATGCTCCTCAAATCTCTGGCACTGCTTTTGAGTATCTCACTGTCTTTATGTAGTAATCTTGCTGGCTGTTTAACACCTTCTACTCTTGCTTAGCTTTTGATTAAAAGGCAACTAGTCTTGAGAGAAGACATTCCCCAGAAGCTGTTCCAGGAGGTTAACTGGTAACTTGCTGAGAACAGGTGTTGTGAGAAGGGACACAGAAGGGAAGGGTGTGGAACTGTCAGGGTACAGTGGGGATCTGGGGGAGAGAAGGGAAGCAGACTGCTGGTCTACTGTCTTCTTTTCCTAGAAACTCAAGAGGACAGCGTTGGTAAGCTGGCTCTGTAATGTGTCCTTGCTTGTTCAGTAAGTTGGCTCTGTAATGTGTCCTTGCTTCTGCCTAATGCAGGTCTGGACACCAGATGATTCTTAAGATTCTCCAGCTCTTGGTTTCCCTGCCACTGGGAGTCTGTGTGTCTTATCCTGCCTAGCTGCTTCACTTAGAATTTACTCATTACTGCAGCAAGATATTGCTTAGTCCAGGTAACATACGTAGATAAGTCAACATAAAAAGATGAGTCAACAAATGTCCTGACTTTCCCCTAATAGACATCCCACAGAAGCCAACATTTCACACTCCAGCATCACAAGTCTCTGGGTTCAAGTCAGTTCTGCTTCCATTCCTTAATTTTATGCAGCCTCGGTTTCTTTTGTAAAATGATGATTAAATTAAGTAATGCCTGTCATACATTGAGCCCACAGCTTGCCAAAGGTGAGCCACTCCACCACTGAATGACAGTGTGTATGCTGAGCAATGGAGCCTTGAGAGTGAACACAGATTCCATCTCTGGTCCCAAGAACTGTCTATTTCTTTTTCTTCCAAACAAACTTAATAAGAAACCACAGAGAGCTTCCCAGGTATGGTCAGGGTGTGTGATCAGGTTAGTGATGGCGCTGAGTAAAGCCCAGTATACCAGATATAAGCTGGTTGTTGTAATTTCTACTATTAACTGACATCTAGCACATAGAATGGACTTGGTTCAGACAAGGGTAGTACAGCATGGGGTTTACACACTTACTGAAGGCCCAAAAGAGGCTCAGGTACCTGTAGCCTGGGGTACAGGATCCTCTTAGGACATGTCTCCATCTTCTTCTAGAGAGCATCTTGGTGAACTCAGCTTTAGCCCAAGCGGGGCTGTAAGCCTCCTTCTTGGAGGCTGTACTCTTTCCTTTGCTGAGGTCTCTGCTGGAGAGATGAAACCTGGCCAGGTCTCTGGATACTACCTAGAACTTGACCCTGGTGCTAGGGAGACAGTACCTCATCACCCATAATGATGGGGCTGTGAGCAAGCAGAGGGAAGGAAGGATTGATGAAGCTGGTGGGAGGACTCTTACCCATTCTCCTCCTGGGATGGGGATCATTGGGGTTGGGTCTGTGTGAGCACTCCTGTGGTCCTCCTAGACTATCTTTCCCCAACATCTCTCTGCACCTTCTGGTGAGGGGCCTGCCCTCTGTCCACACACATGATCATCTCTGCTAAACTCTCAGCATTGTGTCCATGTTTAAGAGGCAGATTGGCCCTGATGCTAATTAAACTTATACCTCAGGCCCACTCTGCATGAACTTTTCTGATACCTAATTATATATTCTTTTTAAAAAGATGCCCCCAGCTGTATGATGGCACTTGCCTATAAATCCCAATACTGGGGAGGAGTTGAGTTGAGGGAGGAGATCTGTAAATTGAAGCCAGCCAGGGATACATAGGGAAAGTCTTTTCATCAAGATCGACCAACCAACCAACCAACCAACCAACCAACCAACCAACCAACCAAATAAACAAGCCAAACCAAAAGAGCCCCTCAAGCTGCTTCTTCCCTAAACCTCGATCTGTCCTTGAGCTTTGCCCTCTACAATTTACAGCTTCCTCTACATCTCCTGTTTTCTTTAAAAACTCAGGAAGAAGACGGTGTATCTAGACAATGGAGATAATGTGGACTTGTCGTCTGTTCATAATGCACAGGACGTCTCTTCTCTTGTGTCCTCTCTTGACCCCTCACAATGATACAAGGCAAGCCTTCATTTTTGGCTTCAGGGTTAATAATCCCAGCAAGAGGGCTGGACATGATGGTTTCTGAGGTTCCTTTAGCTTCTCACTGATCACCTGTTAGGATCTTGTGAAAACAGGCCTGGCTGACCTGGCTGACCTGGCTGACCTGACTAAATGCTCACAGGGTATTGGATCTTACTGGGCTTTCCCACTTCTTCTTTTTTTTTTTTTTTTAAAAACAGTTTCATGGGTCCCAGGCTATGTTCAAACTTATTGTGTTGCCAAGGATGAACTTGAACTTTTGATCCTCCATGTCTACCTCCTGAGTGCTGGGATTACAAGTGTGCACCACCATGCCTGGTTTATGAAGTGCTACAGGTTGGTCCTAGGGCTAACATGCTAGACACACACTCTACCTACTCAACTACATCCCCAGCCCCTAACTGTGGCTTTTCCAATAATGCTGTAAACCAGGACAGCTGATGTCCTGAAGCATAGTGCTAGGTTTAGAAACTGCCTCTTGTCCGTCATATATGTGTGTGTCTTCTGTCTAGATTCTGGAGTGAGGGTTCAGATGTGTGGATGTGTGAGGACCTCATGGGAGAATAAAGATCTATTCCTCAGCTTGAGCTGGAGATACACAGGGTGAGGAAAAATCCACTGACAGTCACACCTCCTATCTCCTTCTGAAGCTAGACTTGGCCACATCAGAAATGATAGTTTATATTGCATTTCCCTGGGCTCCCCTAAAGTGGGGCCTGCATTCCTGGGAAGGCAGGGAAAGGCAACTGACACAGAAGAGTAGCCACCTAGAGAGTTCATTCTTCCATCATGGATGTGGGCAAAGGGGTTAGATCTGGGTGTAAATCTCACTTTCTAGCTACATGGCCTGGGGCAAATGACTCAGTCTCCCTGGACCTTTGCTTCTCTTAAAACCAAAACCCAAACCAAAAAAACTAGAAATCTACCCTATAAGATTAATTTAAGGGTGCAAAGAGATAATGTGTATGGAAGGGCCTGGTACGTGGTAGGCCCTACAGGTGTAACCCTAGCTACCATTTCCTCTATCCTTTGAAAAGGGATGAATGCTGCTGTCCTGGGACCCGGGGAAGCAGATGGGAGGCATGCAAGGGGTAAAGGCAAGATTCAGGCCTTAGTGGGAAGCATTCCCCATCTGCTGAACAGTGAGGGCCTAGATACCTGGGCGTGGCCTTTGGGGTGAACAGCAGAAATAAGAGCCCCTCTCCCCCTCACCCTCCACCCCATTTGCTTAGATAGAGTGGCCTGTTGAAGGTTCTGCAGCCTAAGGGTGAGCATGGGACCCTGGGAAGAGGCCCTAGTGACCAATAGAGTAGGCTCCTGAGTCTGTGGACTGCTTCTCCACAGTGGCCTGGTCACTGGCGAACACTGGGTTGGTTGAGGCAGTTCCCTTCAGTGTTGTCTCAGTCACCTGCAAGCAGAAGGGTTGGAATTGTCATATCTGACACTGGGCAGGAACTTCCAATGTGACCTATTTGACAGAACCAGCAGCGGGGGTGGGGAACGGCTGGTCATTTAGAGAGGTAGAATAAGTCTCTGGGAACCTAGAACTTTACATGCACTCTTAGGGAAAACTGTAACCCAGGCCACCACCACCAGGCAGGATCTGTTCTGCCCCAGAAGTGGACATGTTGACAACAGTGACCCACAGAGCTACCCCTCCCAATAAAGCCCATGGCTTTGTGCATGCTAGAGAAGCACTAGACCTCTGAGCTACAACCAGCCCTAAATCTCCAGAGTTCATTCCTAGTTGAGCCCTCTCTCAGACCCCATAGTGATCTTCTGGGCACCCTGGACAGTAAGCCACAGAGAGTCCCCAAGGTCCAGCAGCCCTCCCTGCCTCGCTTTCTCCGCATTTCAGCCTCTTCCCCAACTCACCTCCTCAAACTTCCTGGCTTTGTAGTGATCAGCTCCCTTGAGGAAATTGAGCAGGATGATGTCACAGAGAACAGTCCCCTGGAGGAAGAGGAGCAGTGTAAGCTCACACAGCAGCTTGGAGATGGGCGGGCTCAAATGGCCTCTTCTGTTGCCTAGCTCTTGGCTAGAACTACCTTCAGCAGACAGGTGCCTGAATCGTTGTTAGGGGAGGGGGCACATAGGGATGGAGTCTTCCAGACAGACCTGACTGTGCAGCTCTTCTCAGAGAAGGCCAAGAAGCTCTGCAGGATCTTCTATGGCCTACCTTTCTAGCTACTGAGAAGCATCACTGGATCACAGGCACGGAGGGTGTGATGGAAGAAGCAGAGGGAGCTAAGGGAGGAGTCCCTGGGAGTGGACTTTGTCCCCACTTCTCTTTCCCCCAAGGTTCTATTCCTCACTAAGGATCCTAGGACTGTGGAAACAAGGAATCTCTCCCTTCCTTCATGGTGAGAAGCAGGAATGTTTTTACAAGTGGAATTACCTGAAAACAGGAAGGCAGTCTCTGGAGGCCACGAGCCTTGGGAGGGAATGTCGTGAAATGCCCAGACCATGGCTACTTAGCAGCAGGTATTGGAGGCCAGAGGAAGGGCTTAGCTGAGCTGCTTAGTAGCACCGTGTGGGGCTGGGCCCCACCCTCCCTGCCCTGTGAGAGCCTGGAAAGACGGATGATGAACTTACCACTCCCACGGAAGTGAAGGCAGCCACCGAGCTGATGATGGTGGGGATGATGTTGAACTTGCCAGCCTGTACATACAAAGACCAAGGCATGGAGACAGAAGGCACAACAGGGAAGGGTGAGGGCTGAGGCTCAACTTGGACTCCCCATCACCGAGGCTGTGGAGCCTGGAGGGGTTCTGGTGGATCAAAGGGTTCCACCCTACATAGTATAGGAAGTTGATGGGGGATGTGGCCAGTTGGCCAGTGGAAGACCCTCATTCCGAGAGAGCCTCTTTAGAGCCCAGGTGCAGGCCTGGGGCGCTCCCCGTGCTCCCCTCATCCGGTGGGTCCCAGGACTCACATTCCCGTACACCAGCACATCAAAGCGGATGCCAAAAGCCTTCAGGAGCGTGCGGTACTCGCTGCCATTCTCCATCTTGTAGTATTTGGCAAACCTAGAGGCCAGAGGTGAAAATGGGTCTGCCTAAGGACTCTCCTGCCTGAACTCTTAGGGTTCTTTAGAGCTCCATAGTCATTATCAAACAACTGATGGTTGGTAAGATGCCTGCTGTAATCTTTCCTGGATCAGTATCACGGAGATTTCAACAAGCAGATCCCTGGGCCGTACTGGACTGTACAGAATCAGCATCTTTGTTGGTGAGAACTAAGACTCTCCCCTTTTAAAATAATTTGCCTACATGGCTGTGTGTGTGCACATGTGTGCATGTGGTGTGACTGTATGTAACTGCGGGTGTGGATGTCATGGCCTGTGCATACGTATAGCTTGAGGTCAACATTAGATATCTTTGGTGATTATTTTCTACTTTATCTTTCTGAGACAGTGTTTCTCACTAAACCTGGAACTCATCAATTGGCTAGGTTGGCTGGTTAAACCCAGAACTCATCAATTGGCTAGGTTGGCTGGTTAAACCTGGAACTCATCAATTGGCTAGGTTGGCTGGTTAAACCTGGAACTCATCAATTGGCTAGGCTAGCTGGTTAAAGCAACCCTGGAAACCCCTTAGCTCCACCTTCCTAGCACTGAGATTGTAAAAACATGTGTGGCTTTTAAAAACGTGAGTGTGGGGGATAGAATTCAGGCCTTGATGCTTGAGCAACACATACTCTACCCACTGAGCCATCTCTGGAAACCTCTCTCCACAAGATTTTTATGTGTATAAAAGCTTGGACCACAGCTGACCACAGCTGGCCCCAGGCTTCTTTAGGTCTACTTGCTTGGATATCACAAGAACCAACTTTAACCTACTTGGGCTCAAAACCTGACTCATAGAACCCTGCACCAGTATTTTAACCTTCCAGAGACTCAGCGGTTGCATCTTGCTCTACAGAGTTGCCATGAGAATCAAAAGCACATGTGTCAGTGTTGTAGAACAGCCCTGGGCACTGGAAACATTTATTGGTGTTGGCTATTGTAATTTGCTGAAGAATTATGTTTATATATAACTGAGAAAAGTGTTTCCTGATCCCTCACCCCATGTTACCCTTGCCTGTGTCCCATGGTGAAGGGAAACACTTCACTTTTCAGAGGACGCTCTGCGAGGTTAAGTGACTCATGCAGGATTTCCCACTGGAACTCGGCCCTATGTCTGCCCCAGTCCTTTGCTCAGTCCTTTGCTCCTCAGCTTTTGCTGCTGGGTGCCTTGGAATGAGCCAGGGACTTAGAGGGATGATCACATTTCATTCTTCCCGAGGACTCGGGTGGTGCCTGCGCAGAAGGGTGGTGTTCACACCCTAGTTTTTGCAGATGTCTATGGCAGGGAAGGGAATTGCCTGTGGCTTGGCGGCTCCTAAGTGCTGGACTTGGGACTGGAATTGCACTGGACTTCTAGACTCTAAATCAAATATTCTCTTCCTATGCAGCTCTGACTACCACAGGCCAGTACCACGGGTCAGGCTCTAACATCAGCACGGTATAATCTCTTGGGCAAAATTCCACTACTGTGAAATGGCTTCCTGATGTCAGGATTAAGTAATTTAATAGAGAGAGTTCTGGAAGGCCAGGCGGTGGTGGCACACACCTTTAATTCCAGCACTCTGGAGACGGGTGGACCTCTGTGAGCTCCAGGACACAGCCTCCCCTGCAGAGCTATGATAGAGATCTCAGGATAGAGAAGGCTACACACACACACACACACACACACACACACACACACACACACACACACACAAAATCCCTGTTGCAGAGAGGGGTGGGGGAGGACAGACAGCCAATAAACAAAACCAAACAAAACAAAAACAATCAAACAACAACCAACCAACCAACCAACCAACCAACCAACCAAAGAGTCCAGAAAGTTCTAATGTAAAGCCAAAGCTGCTCTCGTTCAATGCTAGGTTCTCTGAGTCTTCCCAGTCAGCACAGATCCCTAGGCCCCTGCTTGCTGGTAAAGGGGTGGTGTGTGTGTGTGGGGGGGTCAGTCTGAGAACTCAGTCCCTGAATGTGTGCAACGGTGGAAGCTGCATCTCTTTCCCAGGGATGTCTACACTTGCAGCTGTACAGGTAGAAGAAAAAAACCATGCAGTCCAAGTAGACCAGAGCTGGAGGATGAGAGGTGTGGAAGGAAAGGGCATGGTGAAATGTCAACCTCTGCTCTGGCTGACTTAGGGGAGCTCTATGGTCAGGCAGAAATGAGTCTGGATCCTATAGTCATCACCTGCAAGTAGCGTGGCCTTTAATGTTTCTTAGTCCTCAGGGTGTCAGCTTCCATGTCTATAAAAATAGAGGTGCTCATGTCCTGATGAAGCTCTGTTGGCAGCAGTGGGTGAATACTCACTGAGATCAGCTCTTTGAGGTGAGCACTGTTAAAATCCCACGTCAGCGATTCTGTCTACTGGATACTGTCTTTCTCTGCCTCTTCTCTGCCCAGATCCCTGCCCAGGGAGCCTTGCTGTTCCTGTCAAGTAGTCTGCTTAGCTTTTAGTCAGGTTCATTCAACAGGAAGTATCAGCAGGAGTGCAGAAAGGACAGAGTGTGCAGTCTGCTTACCTCCCCATACAGGCCAATGCCTTACAGACCAGTTTCAGCTTCATCTAGATTCTGTGCTTTTCTCCCTTTGCTTGCCCATGCCAGCCCCAGGAAGACAGCTTCCACAGGCTGCCAATCTTGGGGTCCTTCACTACGTAGGCTCCCCTTGTTCAATGTGTACCCTGTAATTACACCTTTTGAGGCAGTCCATGTTCCCTTGTGGATAGCCTATCCTAAGTGACCCCATCTTACAGAGGAGGAAGCTCAGGCCCAGATGCTTCTGTCATGATTAAGAAGCAGTACAGGAAAGTTCAGGTAGCAGATTTTTGGCCCTGTCTGTGCCTGGGCAAGGCGCGAGTGCTGAACCTGCCGAGTAAGACTGAGAATCACTCAGTGTAAATATTCTCAGGGATGACTGACTCAAAGGTGATCCCTGTGGGTTCTGCAGTTGAAGGAGCAGAGTGAGGGAAGGCAGCAGACTCTTCTCCAGAGAGTGAGACCCAGGGGAAAAATGAAAGTGACCCAGTAGGGATGATGAATGAAGTAGAGCCACTGAGTTGGAAGTAAGGGAGGCCTGGAGGTCAAGGAAGGGTGTGAGAAACAAGACCATCTTTATCTCTGGTAAGTTATGTCTGGCCAACTCTGGTAGGTTATGTCTCCTACTGGGTAACAGTGGTAGCATGCTACACAGGTCAAGGCAAAGCAGAATGAATTTAAGTTCACAGCAGCAAGAGGATGCTGGAATAGACAGCAGGAAAGAGACTTTTTATGTCCAGGGTGAGACCCAATAACCTGGAACTCCAAGGAGACATCCAGGGAGATCTCAAAGAAGTTAGGAAAAGAAGTATTTGAAATGGGTAGAAGATTTTAGAAACCTGTGGCTTTCAGGCTGGCTTGGGGGTCTGAACAAACCATGACCATCTCAGCACCCACTAAATATAGAGACCCACAAATGTATGCAGAATACCTCAGTTAACCTCATGAATAATGCACTATTATTGACCCATTTTATAGGTTTGGAGAGAGAAGAGCAGGTGACTCGCTTGAGTCTGATGACTTTTGATTCTCTGACTCCACAACCCAAACTTGGAATCTCTGAACCATCTGTCTTTAGCTAGCTAAGGATACAGGCACCCTGGTGCAAGATCTCAGAACCCTTCTAAATTCTACGTTCTCCTACCACTGGAGAACTGAAGAACCTTGTCACACAGATGTCATTCTCATGGCAACTGGGCATGGAAGAATCCGGATGAATCACAGATATTTGAGGCAGGGCAGGGGTCAGGCCTGTGGTCCTGTGGCCTTCATGCCCAGCCTATGTCTGCATCCATGACAAATGCTCTGACATGGACTCAGAGAACAAGAAGTTGGCATCCTAGGCTCCACTGGTTAAATTTATCCCAGGAAGGAATGTGAAGGGAACAGGGAGAAAAATCAGAGCGAGCTTGGTTTTCTTCCAGCACCTGCCTTCCAAGAGGCAATAAGCGTGGTAAGATCATTACGTTATCTCAGCAGCCACCCACCCTCAAGGAGGCTTGGCAGGGAAGAATTCTCTTCTTGCTGGGAGGGGGAATTTCAGAGCTTATGGAGGATGGTCTAGGCTGCAGACGGGTGCAGCCCCAGAGTCCAGACTCTGCTCCAGGGAAGCCAATGGAGATCACAGAAGCCATCACCTCCCTATGACAGGGGATGGCTCAAGTCATAAGGGCTTGGTACGGTATCTTCTCTCTTGAGGCACACTTGGACCTTCTTTCCCATTTCTTCACAACTTGTTGGTGCTCCATCATTGGCTCTTATAATGGAGTGTGGGCGAAAGGGAGGTGAGGCTTGTTACCTGGTTCAGTGCTGTGTACCTTACCAGGATCGATTAATGAGGCAGTCCTGGAGGAGACTGAATCAAGATGGCAGCAGGCTAGAGCTCAGAATGGCTCACGCCCCACTGGTTTATCACTGAGAAGACTGAGGCACAATTCGAAGAGCTTTTCCAAAGGACAAAGAAGGAGTTAGAGTTGAGGAAAACTAGACCAAAGGGGTCATTCCTAGAAATAAGCTCTCTAAAAAGGTCCAAGAGCCCATAGTGCCACTTGGCTCTTCTTAAGCTAACATTTTGTCCCTGAGCACATCACTCATCTTCTCTGAGACTTACTTTTACTGAAGGGGGGGGAGCTGTGGAGGAAATGAGTTAAGAGTTAAGATTTTTATCTTAAGGCCAAGATAAAGAATACTATCACAGGCTGGAGAGATGGCTCAGTGGTAAAGAGCACTGACTACTCTTCCAGAGGTCCTGAATTCAGTTCCCAGCAACCACATGGTGGCTTACAACCATCTGTAACAGAATCTAATGCCCTCTTCTGGTGTGTCTGAAGACAGCTACAGTGTACTCATATAAAAAAAAATAAATCTTCAAAAAAGTCTAAACCATAAAAGCCAATAGTTGGGAGAGCAAAGCTGGAATTCAAATCCAGTCCA